AGTGACCATAACCTTGCCCCTTGTCAGCTCTACTATACACCTGGGAATTCTGATCACTCACATAAACTTATAGGACCATTGTCTGTCAGGCCATTCTTAATGCTATTAAAGCACATCTACCTAGGGGAAAGATGCTAGAATGGGAGACCTCTGTGAGAGAAAACTGGGGAAGATCTTGGTGAATACTTACCTCTTCTTGGCTCTTGGGGTTAGAGGGATCTTGTTTTCTTTCTATCCTTTATGAATTTGTGTTATATACATTGAGCAGTACCACTTGTCCATCAGTTTGTTGTACTGTGGTAGGTTCTGTGTTGCTGTGAGGCTGGAGGCTATGCCACAGGTATTTCAAATACCAGCAGGGTCACCCATGGTGGACAGGTTTCAGCTAAGGGAATTGGCTATCCACTTCTCAAAAGAATTGGTCAGTGAAAACCTTATGAATAGCAGTGAAATACTGTCTGATACGTTACTGGAAAACTTTATGAATAGCCCTGAAACACCATCTGATATAGTGCCAGATGAGCTGCTCAGGTCAGAAGGCACTCAAAATATGACTGGGGAAGAGCTGTGTCCTCAAAGTAGAGTTGACCTTAATGACATGGCTGGAGCAAAGCTTTTGGGACCTCCATTTGCTGATGGGGCATGACTCAAAATGGGAAGAAATAGCTGCAAACATCCATTAATATTTGGAATTTGGAATGTAGGAAGTATGAATCTAGGAAAGTTGGAAGTTGTAAAAAATGAAATGGAATGCATAAAGATCAATATCCTAGGGATTAGTGAGCTGAAAAGGACTGGTTTTGGCTATTTTGAATCAGACAATCATATTATAATCAACTGTTATGAAAATGACAGATTGAGGTGGCATTCATCATCACAAAGAATGTTTCAAGATCTATCCTGAAGCACAGTGCTGTCAGTGATAAGATAATATCCATACACCTACAAGGAAAACCAGTTAACACTATTATTCAAATTTACACACCAACCAATAAAGCCAAAGATGAGGAAATTGATGATTTTTACCAACTTCTGAAATTGACCAAACATGCAATCAAGATGTATTGATTATTACTAGTGATTGGAATGCAAGAGTTGAGAACCAATAAGAATCAACAGTTGGAAAATATGGCCTTGGTGCAAGAGGTCACATGATAGAATTTTGCAAGACCAACAACTTATTCATTGCACATACCTTTTTGCAACAACATAAATGGTGGCTATACACGTGGACCTCACCAAATGGAATACATAGGAATCAGATCAACTGCATCTGTGGAAAGAGGCAATGGAAAAGCTTAATATCTTCAGCCAAAACAAGGCCAGGAGCTGACTGTAGAACAGACCATCAATTGTTTATATGCAAGTTCAAGTTGAAGCTGAAGACAATTGAAACAAGTCCACAAGAGCCAAAATATGACCTTGATTACATCCCACATGAATTTAGATACCACCTGAAGAATAGATTTGACACATTGAACCAATGACCAAAAGCCAGATGAGTGTGGGATAACATCAAGAACATCATCCATGAAGAAAGCAAATGGTTACTGAAAGACAGGAAAGGAAGAAAAGACCTAAATAAATGTCAGAAGAGACTCTGAAACTTGCTCTTGAATGGAGAGTAGCTAAAGCAAATGGAAGAAATGAGAAGATAAAAGAACTGAACAAAAGATTTCCAAGAGCAGCTAGAGAAGACAAAGTAAATTATTATAATGAAATGTGCAAAGACCTGGAGTTAGAAAACCAAAAGGCAAGAACATGCTCAGCATTTCTCAAGCTGAAAGAACTGAAGAAAAAATTCAAGCCTGAAGTTGCAATATTGAAAGATTCTACGGGCAAAACACTGAATGATGCAGGAAGTATCAAAAGAAGATGGAAGGAATATACAGAGTCACTGTACAAAAAAGAATTGGTCGATGCTCATCTATTTTAGGAGGTTGCATATGATCAAGAACCAATTGGTACTGAAGGAAGAAGTTAAAGCTGCACTGAAGGAATTGGCAGAAAACAAGGCTCCAGGAATTGATGGGATACCTACTGAGATGTTTCAACAAATGGATGCTGTGCTGGAGGTACATGCCAAGAAATCTGGAAGACAGTTACTTGGCCAACTGACTGGAAAAGATCCTTATCTGTATCCATTCCAGAGAAAGGTGATCCCACAGAATGTGGACATTATCAAACAATATCATTAATATCACACACAAGTAAAATTTTGCTGAAGATAATTCAAAAATGGTTGCAGAGTGTATTGATAGGGAACTTGTAGAAATGCAAGCTGGATTCAAAAGATGACATGGAACAAGGAATATCACTGCTGATGTCAGATGGATCTTGGCTGAAAGCAAAGAATATCAGAAAGATACTTACTTGTGTTTTACTGACTATACAAAAGCATTTGATTGTGTGGATCCTGACAAATTATGGATAACGTTGAGAAGAATGGGAATTCCAGAACATTTAATTGTACTCATGAAGAATCTGTTCACAGACCATGAGGCTGTCGTTCGAACAGAACAAGGGGATATTGCATGTTTAAAAATCAGGAAGGGTGTGTGTCACAATTGTATCTTTCACCATACTTACTCAATCTGCATGCTGAGCAAATAATTCAAGAAGCTGGAGTATATGAAGAAGAATGTGGCATCAGGATTGGAGGAAGTCTTATTAACATGCAGATGACAAAACTTGCTTGCTGAAAGCAAAGATGACTCGAAACACTTACTGATGAAGATTAAAGACTACAGTCTGCAGTATGGATTATACCTCAACATAAAGAAAACAAAAATCCTCACAACTGGACCAATAATCAGCATTACAACAAATGAAGAAACACTGAAATTGTCAAAGGTTTCATATTACTTGGACCCACAATCTGTACCAATGGAAGCAGCAGTCAAAAAATCAGATGTCATATTGCACTGGGCAAATATGCTGCAAAAGACCTCTCTAAAATGTTGAAGATCAAGGATGTCACTTAGAAGACTAAGATGCGCCTAACCCAAGCCATGGAATTTTCAATAGCCTCATGTGCATGTGAAACTGGACAATGAATAATGAAGACCAAAGAAGAGTTAATGCCTTTGAAATGTGCTGGCAAAGAATATCGAAAATACCATGGACTGTGGAAAGAACAAACAAATCTGTCCTGGAAGAAGTACAGCTGGAATGCTCACTGTAAGCAGGAATTGCCAGACTCCATCTCACCTACTTTGGTCATGTTGTCAGAAGGGATCATTCCCTAGAGAAGGATATCCTGCTTGGTAAAGTGGAGGGGTCAGCAAAAAAGGTGAAGACCCTCAATGAGATGGATCAACACAGTAGCTGCAACAATGGGCTCAGATATAGCAAGGATTGTGAGGATGGTGTACAATTGGGCAGCGTTTTGTTCTGTTGTACGCAGAGTCTCTGTAAGTTGGAGCAACTCAATGGTACCTAACAACAACACATTGGGCAGCCTGGAATGACTACGAATGTGATACTTCTGACCAATTTCAAAGCTTTAATTTTTTGTCACCTGTGCTGAGTTCATCCCCAAACCTGATCATCCCAGAATCCACACTGGCCCTTTGATCTCTACTCTTCCTCAGACTTAATCCAGATTTTGATCTGTGTAATCAATATCTTAGAATCCTGAAAAGCTGTCACCAGCAGTTGTACACATCTCACTTCTTCCACAAAATCTTCATAATATATCTTCTGATCCAATTTCCCTTTCACCAATGGTCCAAGCAGGTTATAGTGGGTGCAGCCTTTTTTCCTCTGAATAGGCCCATAGCCCAGTTTCACCTGCCCATGTTCCACTTGATATATCCCCCGTTTACCAATGCCTGTCAGCACCTGTACCCGGGTCACTTTCTGCGGCTCATCAAAAATCACAACGTATATGTTACCTGGAATGAGAAAATAGGTCTGAAAGTAATTTTCATTCAGAAAGTAGGCATACTCTGGGAAATGAAGTCCTCTCACCATCATGTTAGTGTAGATTTGAGCAGGAGGGTTTTCAGGCTCATTTTCTTCCTCTTTCTCTTTCTCTTGGTAACATACATCCTCAGAAGTGAAATCATTTTCTGTAGAGTGGAAAAGGTAGGGAGTGAGACTAATTGGCACTCTCTGGCCCAAGAGGAAACCAAAATGTGAGAGAAGCAAGTCAGTAGGAGTGTCCTGGAAGAGGAGGAAGAATGAGGTCAGGCGGGAGAGGTCCCTCATGTGGAAAACTTTCCCAGAGAAGCTCAGGCTGGAGAACTCCAGGATCATCCAAGGTATTTCTTTCCAGGCTTCCAATGTCCAATAGATTGTAGAAATAAATTTTAGGGTACAGTGAACATTATCTCCTATCATCAGAAAGTAATCGGAGAGGTTAGTAGCAAAGTTCATGAGGAGGCCATAATCTGTTTTCTGCCTGGAATAAAGTGCTTTACAGGATGAGGAGTGATGGGTGTCATTCACATCTCTGGGGAGAGAAGAGCCATTGAGGAGACCTTGGATCACAAGCAGCTTCTGGGTTTCAATATGTGGTTTGAAGAGGTTTGAAATATTGGCAACTGTTTGGCTGAGCCACTCAGGATCAGGATTTAACAGGTGGACCAGCACCACGATATAACTCAGCTCAGGTTCTGAGGATGCCTGGAACAGGGACTGCAGGGTGTGCAAGAGGCAGCTTTCGTGAGGATGCTGCACGAAGGAAATCCCCACTGTCAGCAGTTCTGGGGGAGATATGGAGACCTTAGCACTTCAGGTTGGTGAAGAGCTCCTAGGTTAGGACTATCCCCTAGCCTTCTTTTATATAGCAACCTGATAGTTGTATATAGACCATCAACTGGGGGATATCATCTAGTCAGAAGCTGTAAGGCATTTTTGTTTGTTTGTTTTTAATCATATCCTCTAAAAGACTATTAAAGGGGTAAAAATAAAGAACAAGACTTTCTAATGGGGAAGGCTGCCATGTACCAAAAGCAAATTTTCTGGTTTGGCAAATTATGTTAGCCTGGCCTTGATCTTCAGAGTCATCTCAGACCTGGGTTAGAGAATCTCCAGGCACCTATGTAAACCCAAGCATTCTGGCAGTCTAGGGCACTGTGACACATGTCCATACTTCCCTCTTTGCCCTGTACCCAGTTTTCTCCCATGGCTCCACCTGGGTCCTCCCTGATCCTGGCTTCCCCTCCCTGGGGGCCTGCCATCAATGAGCTTCACTAAGGGATGTCTCCTTGACAAGGTTACTATAGACTCCTCAACCCTATTAGTCATTCAAGGGGGGAAAAGGTGGGAGGGAAATGCACTCAGGGTTATAACCTATACCAAAAGTCTGTAGCATGGTAGTCCCTCAGGGAACCCTCCTTCCTTCACCAGATGCCAATCCATTTTCTCATTTGACCCACTTCCTCCTCTGCTTCTGTTAAGATCCTGTCCCAATTATGACCACTCCTTCCCACATACTCACTCCTTTCCTGGGGAGGGATTCCAGCCAGGATTTTGTAGTTGGCATGTTGGAATAAAGAGGAGTTATTCTGCATTGCCTTGAAGGTCCTCAGATGGTTCTTGCTTGCAGAGCTGATTTGCTCCTCAACAATCTGCCAAGGGATTTTCTTCTTTTCCTCCTGAGGATAGGATATGCAACAGTCTGATTTACCTCCAAATCCTCTGGTAACGATTGCAGGGCAGATCCTCCATCTAGAACAGGCTGAGGTAAGCCCCAGGATACCAGTCTCCATGCAAGCAGAATGTCAGTGGTCAGTCCACTGTTATTCCTACCTCATCAGGAGAACACACAGAGGTTCCATCATGGGTCATGGGCCTTGCAACAAAGGATTGGGGCTCCCCCAGTTTTGTGTGGGAAGGACCTAGGCTTAGGTAGGGTAAGAATTTGCCTAACTCACCATATCACACATCTAATATGTCCTATCATTATCAGGCTGGCAAAAGTCATCTACCTGAAGTTGAGACTGTGCTAGGTACTGTGATAGATACTGAAGACCAATTCCTGGTCCTGGTCCTTTAGGAATTTACACTTAGTGTCTCAATTCCAAAGTCCTTTCTTTAGCTAAATTCTAACTACCCTCACATTTCTAAACTACTCTACAATTCTGTGCTTTGCACTGGTTGTTTTGAGGCACATCAAGAAAGACGTGGAATGCTAAGCCTCAGCACACCTGTGGTGGATTGTGATTCTCCACTTACACAGGTCAAACACTTGTAGAAGTTATTTCAGGGCTCTGAGTCTCGAAATTTTGCTGTATCAGATAGGAAAATAGCGTCTCCCACACTGGGCTCTGGTGAGGCAAGCAGCCAGCACCTATGAAATCATCATAGTGGTCTGGTCCTGTTGGTCAGTGTGATCCTCTAGAAGTGGCTTGCATTGTCCTCTCCAAACTTAAAATGTCCTCTCTTCTTCCCTGACCCTATCTAAAGCCTATCTATATTTTAAAGGGCTGTTTAAAAGCCAAGAATTTAGAAAGTAACTGAATGAAGCTGGCAGGAGATGGTCTTGAATGATTCCTAAAAAAATCTAGAAGGTCCTCATAGAGTTTTTGAAGAAGAGAGAGATAGAGTCACCTTCATTCCATTCCCCTCTGCTAGATGGGTTTCTTAAAAAAAACAAACAAACCAAACTCACTGCTGTCCAGTCGAATCTGACTCATAGCGACCCCTCTTTGGGTTTCCAAGGCAGATCACTACGGAAGTACATTGCCCAATCTTCCTTCCGAAGAGTGGCTGGTAGGTTTAAACTGCCAGGCTTCTGGTTAGCAGTCAAAAACCTTAGGCACTACGCCACCAGAGTTTCTTAGTTACTATAAATTAAATGTCAAACCTCCAATACTCCTCTAGGTTTAATGCTGCCCTGTTTGATCCCGGAAATTTCCTTTTTCTTCATCTGTTCCTCTCTATTGTCACCACCTGACAGTTATACATTTCAAATTGACATCTTTCCCCTTCCTAACCGGCAAAATGTAAATGGCCATTTCTTAAGGAAAATAAATAATCAAACTATGTAACCTCTTTTATGTTCATTAAAAATAATTTACTCTTTAATAACCTTTTTTCTCAGAACATTTGCAGTGATTCTAGAGTGTTCCACGTATATGAGACATAAACACTGACATACATAATTTACTTATTTTCATACTTAACAACTGAAAATTGCATCTTTTCTCAGGTTCAATACTTACCAAAAGATGTTTATGTTCACCATCCTGGACTTTCTCATAAAAGACAAAGGTCAAGAGGGCTAAGGACACAATCGCTATAAAACATTTCCAAAGGCAATGGTGCATGATGCCAGGGGCTGGCTGTAGCTCTGCAGAGAAATATTGAGTAGCCTCAGTGCCTTCTTATCACAGAGCACAGAGATGACATTTTTTTTTTTTTTGCCTCTTTTCCTTGTCTCTACTTCAAGTCATCACTACTTTATTATTTCCTGAACTCTTTGTGTCTACTGACCCCCCCAACCCCAGCTTTTTCCCATCTAAAGAAAGAAAAGGGTCAAAGACCTTGATTCTAATTACTCTCTACATTCTATACCTTCTGCATGGGCTTCCAGGTATACTGAGAGAAACTAAAACCAAACCCACTGCCATTGAGGTGATTCTGCCCCATAGAGACCTGATAAGACAGAGCAGAACTGCCCCATAAAGTTTCCAAGGCCGTAAATTTTTATGGAAACAGACTGTTTGATCTTTCCTCCACAGAGAGGCTGGTGGGTTCAAATCACTGACCTGGTGAGCAGCCAAATGCCTTAATCACTGCTCCATGAGAGCTCTTGGACTGAGAAGCTGCCTTTATTCAACCACTTAAGCCAGAGGTATTTTTTAGGAAAGTTGAAAAAAGAAAATGGACAGGGCCACACTATCAAAGGGAAATCCCTTTTGGAGTAGAGACTCAATCAGAGAAGGTGTGGTACTAAAGAAATGAAACCAAGGAAGAAGGCAAAGGGCCCAAATATTATTCTGTCCTTCTCAGATCCTCAAGTTTCCTCTTGGGTTTTGCTGAGTTTTTCTGTCTCTCCCAGCCACTATGCTGCCTGATTCCTCAAGTCTCACCGCAACATCTCCTTCCAAGCTCATGTTTCGTAGTGTGGTAGAGTTTTTGTAGGGACTTATACCTCAGAATCCAGTGAAGATTTTAGAGTACAAGCCCTTACAAATCTTCATGGTATGTGCCATATTCACACCACGTCTACTCAGGTAGGAAGGAAAACTGAAAGTAACCAGAAATTTCTAACGGTGAGGTCACACTACTAACTCCAGTCAATGAAAAATGAGTGGAAGGGGTATGTGTCATTTCTAGGTGAGACGGTGAAAAACCCATGTGAGATTCTCCACTTCCTCCCCCTACACTGGTACCCGAATTTGCTTTGCATATCAGATGGTATAGCTACAAAATGGTGGAGCATCTGTCATAGCAGATCCCTAGATGACTCGATGGAGCAAAGCTAGCCCCTCTCCCCCAAGCCTGGATGGGACATGTAATATGAGAGGGAAATAAACTTTTACTGCATTAGACCACTAAGTTTTGAGGTTGTTTGTTACCATAGCATAATTTAGCCTATTCTGACTTAATCCAGCAATTTAGAAAGAGTTTAGAATGTAATTGCACCACTTTGAATCAAGCTGGCAGCAGTAAGTTTTGAAGAATACCTTCAGGAACTTTAAAGTCCTCATGGAGAGGCTAAAGGACAGCTATAGAGAAGTGATGAGTCTGTCTTCATTACTAGTATTCCATAATCCATTTCTAGGTTAAGCTCAGGTCTGTAAGGTAGATCTGTTAGCATAAAACCATTAGTCATTAAATTGTCAATTCTTTCCTAGCTCTACCAGTGTTCTGTTCTGACCCTGGAAATTTCCCTATTTTCTGTCTATTCTCTCCAATTTCATCATTGGCAACATCCTAGTTTTCATTCAGTCTTGAGGAATTTTCTTCTATGTATCCATGACCCAGTAGTCAGAAAAGACTCAAGGAAACCTCTACACAGATTTCTGGAGCTCTTTCTTTCTGCATTTTTTTCCAGTTGCTGTCAGTCAACTCTGACTCATGGCTCTCCATTTGCTGTAGATTTTTTCAGTGGCTGATTTTTGAAAGTAGATCATCAGGTCTTTCTTCTGAGGTGCCGCTGGGTGGACTCAAACTTTCAACTTTTATGTTAGTAGTCAAGCTTAACCATTTGTATCACCTAAGTTAAAAACACCAAACCCATTGCTATCGAGTCAATTTTGACTCATAGTGACCCTACAGGACAGAGTAGAACTGCCCTGTAGGGCTTCCAAGTCTGCTCCCGTGGAGCAGCTAGTGGGTTTCAACTGCTGACCTTTTGGTTAGCAGCTGAATGCTTAGCCACTGTGCCATCAGGGCTTCTTTAGCACCTTCTAGGGATTCCTTTTTTTTGCATAGTTCCCTTCTTTCTTGAACTCTGCTCTGGAGTTTCCAGCCACCTCAACTTTTCTGAACTCTGACATCTGCTCCTCAACTCAGTGAGGACATTAGCTTCGGTTTGGATTCTTCTTCCCTGTGCCTGTGGTCCAGAAATTGCCTCCACGAAGAAAGTCAGGGCAGTTGTAGGACTTACTTTATTTGTTTCCCTGCTGTCCTGGGTTGCCTGTTGTTCCATGTCTGAAAGCAGTTTTTTCTTATATTATCCAATTTTCTAGTTGTTTACATCTGGAACTTAATTCTGGTCCTAGTTATGCCATCATAACTACAAACAAATCAGAAATTCAGCTTTTCAATCTGAAGGATGAAGTCTACCATTAAGATTACCTTCTACTTAGTTATTTTGTTAAAACCATAAGTATAAAATTACATCCACTCCTCACTTATTGACATGGTTAGTTTCCAAGGAGCAGGTTATCATGGGAAAATCAGTATTATGTGAAAATGGAGAATGATTACATCAGATGACGAAATGGAGGATGACTACATTATTACATAACTGCCAAATCATATCATTACATAATTGCAAAATCTTATCATCATGTAACTGCCAGATCACATCATTACATAACTGTCTAACCACTGAGAATCATAGCCTAACCAAGTTGACTCATAACCTTACCATCACAACCAATGTTACACTTACCTTGCACTTTAGTGTTTGTTATTGCCAGATATACATTGTTAATGCTCAAAATAGTTGGATGGTAGATTTTTTACTATTGTCATATATGTGAAATGTTGGATAATGAGATAGATAATAAGTGAGGTGTAGGTGTACATAATAAGGCAGGCACATCTCAGACTGAGATAAATAAGCATCTTCCTCCTCTTTCTCCTCTTGTCCTTCTTTTCCATCCCTTACTCTTTTTTCATCTATTAGTCATTTAAAAAAATTTTTCATCCTCATCTTTCTACTCTCTCAACTTAAAGAGTTCTTAAGCTATTTATATTGAATTTAAAATGATCAGAAGATTTTCATATTTTTTTTCTTATACCTTCTTTGAGTATATTTTTTAGCTCTTCTAGCTTCCACTGGTATTTGTTTCTCAAAATGTTTTCTTATCCTTCTGTAATAATAGAGTTTCAGCTGGGTTCATGGTCAAGTAGCTACTACATTTCTCAAGTTCATTTCACTGATGTATGGCCCTGTGATCATGCTCTCACAAATCCAGCATGTGTGGAAATGATGTAAGCAACTTACAAGTCACTTGCTTAAAAGGGAATCACTTAGTTTTCTAGTTCTACTCTTTCCCATTTCCTGAGAAGTGAGTGGTGGTGACTCAACCGCAACATACACTAAGGGATGGAAGGTACATCAGTATATCTACCTTGTCATCCTAGGTTCTTCATCTCCAGACACTTTGCTGAGAGAGACATGGAAACGTTTTATTTAAGTGGTTGTGTTTTTGTACGTCTTTGTTACAGCAGCTTAATAATCCAACTAATAAAATAAGAATTGGTAGTAGGAAGTAGGGCACTAAAATATCAAAACCCAAATATGTGGCATTGATTTAGTAGTCAGGTGGTGGGAAGAAAAGATAATGATATTGAACATTGGAACTGGTCATTTTTAGACATGGCAAATCATTTGGTAAAATTATTGCCTATGATAATGTGGAAGACAGATCATGTGCTTGTGGAGCCAGTAATTCTAGAAGAAGCAGTTGGAAAGAGCTAGAATATTAGTGTGCATTGACTGCTTCTGTTGATTTTAGCAAAGAATTACAATAAGGAGATGAGCTCAGACAAGGATTGCCCAGTTTGCAAACAGAGGGCGAAGAGAGTATATTTCTGCCAAGGGAGACTCCCTTGGGATAGTGATCTAAATTGACTGGAGCCTAGTCACGTGAAGTGTGTAAATAACATTTTTTCAGGTGTCTGTTAGAATTCTCAACAAGAAAAAGGGAGCCAGCCCAAAGGCAAAGATGAATTGATGTGTGTTGCTTTCCCATGTAAACCAAAATAAGGAAAGAAAATGGCAGAAACACCAGTAAATAACAGGGGATTGGAGTCCAAATTTAGTCTAGAAGAGATTTTATAATATGGTTATTAGTACAAGAAACTGACTAGAAACAAATGCTCTAAAGGGCTACTAGGTTTCTTGTTGTTGTTGTTATGTGCCGTCGAGTCGGCCCCGACTCATAGAGACCCCTCCTTGGGTTTCCGAGGCAGTATCACTACGGAAGTAGGATTGCCC